TTATATTCTGTCCAATTTATGAGTTCCAGAGGGAGGAATCATCATCATCATAGTCCTAATAATAGCTAATATGTGTATTGCATTTACTCTTGAATTGCTTTATGTGTGTTAATTCCTACAATCCTTGCAAAAGCCCTGTTAGGCTGGTGCTATTAGTATTGTTTCCATATTTCAGATGAGAAAATTGAGGCTTAGAAAGGACAAGAAACTTGCTTAGGCTGCACCGCAAGTATGGGGCAAAGCTGGGATTTAAACACAGACAGTTTGGTTTCACAGTCTTTGTTCTTTATCATTATATCAGTCCCCCAAATTGTTTTGTCAACTCTGTCTCAAGAACTGTGGCTCTCTGACCCTTGAAAGTTCTGCAGTCCATCTATCTGTTCCTGGTTGAGCTGGTTTTAAAGCCGGTTGGTTGGTCCCCAGCCCCTATTCATGACTAATCGCTACCACAGTTTTAACAGTTAGCACTAACATGCTCAGCTTGCTTCTAAGGTCAAAGTTCTTTTATCATTTACCAACACTAAGTATTGATAGGTCTCTACTTTTATATTTTCTACTACCTTTTTATGTCTTTCTTGAAAGTGAGAAATTGGGAGCAGTTTTGACTGAAAAATGAAAGCAGATCTAGTAAGTGGCATATTTTTGTAAACAATGAAGGCTGGTACAATTCAGCCTTTACTTGACATAGAAAGATGGGGTTGAAGAGACACATCAAAAGATGGCTGAATTGGAAGTGTTGCTCAGTTAAGCATTTTTAACATACATTCAGCATCATCCCTTTGTGCGTTTTCAGCAACATTTTGGACTCATCATTGAGAAGGGTAACTTCATATAGAAATAAGTGAAAAACAAATTTGTGATAGTCTAGTAGTGTCAAGGGAAAGGGCTCTTCAGTCATTTTTCTTTTCCCTACCAAATAGACCTTGACTAATATTTATTCAGTTTCATTCTTATGTATAGATTAAATAGCTGTATGTGTTAGAATATTTGTATTATGATTCGCATCTGAATTCAGTTATAGATGGGGTCTGTTGTTGCATAGAGGAGGAAAAAAATCTTGTGTTAGTAGCAGTGGATGAAAAAATTAAGTTTTTAAAAAAATTTAAATTCAATTAGCCAACATTAGTTAGCCAACATTAGTTTCAGATGTTAAGTTCAGTAATTCATCAGTTGTATATAACACTCATTGCACGTCACATCACATGCCCTCCTCAATGCCCATACCTAGTTACCCCAACCCACCTTCCCTCTAGCAACCCTCAGTTTTTCCTACAGTTAAGAGTCTCATGGTTTGTCTTCCTCTCTGGTGACTTCCCATTGTTTTTTAAGACAAAGGAAAGCACAGTGAGCTTTAAAAGTTTTCCTTCTTTTAAAAAGACATTTTCCAATTTTCATAGGGGTCAACTTTTCTCTGTTATATATTTGCAAGTCAGTAGGAAATCCAATATATTTTTCTCACCTTTCCATATTTCAGGAGACCAACTTAAAACGTTCTCAGTCCAAACTAAAGGCAACCAAACATTCTTCTCAGAAAGCAACAGGAACTCCCCGTGCCAAAAGTTTTGTGCAGAGATTTCGAGAGGCTGAGAGTTTTATTCAACTTTCTGAAGAAATCCGAACAGCAATTTTGTGGTGCAGGAGCAAAAAACTCAAGGCTCAGGCCTCCTTTCTGGGTAACAAACTTCTTAAAAGTAACCGGCTTAAACATGTGGAAGCTCAAGGGTGTAGGTAGGTGTATAATAAGAATTCCATTCCTTTATTTTTTCTGTTGTTATTTAGGGCAAAAGTATATATATATTCAAGTTAGCTTTTTGAAAAATGGGATAGCCCCCCTTAGGGGGGCTAAAAGAAGGATCTATTCAAACTGCAGTTTTGTTTGCTTTTGTTGGTCACAGCTGTATCACTGGGAAGAAAAAAGTTAACTTGGTTAATTGGATTTATTCATTTATATTCTTCACCATTCCATTTGTTCATTCAGAAAGCCTTAGGAGTGTTTGTGGTATGCTAAGCCAGGGGATGCATTGTGTAAGACGGACTTAATCCTCATGGAGCACTAGCTCTCACTCCTGCTCTGGTAGGAGAGACAGCCAGTCTCCCCACAGCTTCAGAGCAGCAGGATGAGGGTGTGAGAGCAGAAGTACACACACCAGACTCTGGGCTTAGGGTTGGGTAATGTTCGTTCGTGAGTGCCAGACTTTCCATGTATTGATTTCTTCCTTTCCCTCTGATTCTTAGGTTCACAGAACTGCTTAAGGGTGGTTATCTTTGACTGTGAGTCAGTATTACTTGAAGCATTATAATGAAGTCAGATGCCTTAGGGTTTTATATTTTTATTGAAAAAATAATAGATGCCCATTGTAACAATTTTAGACAAAAAAGGCTGTAAAGATCAACAAGAACAAGTTTTGATTGAGAGCTGTGGGAGAAGTTAAGTATTCCTAAGGAAAGAATGGTTGGAAGGGTTTCTACATTAAGGTCCTTTAAAGACCTGTAGCCATCTAAAAATGATCCATTCTAGGGTGGAACTCAGCCTGAGATGGAGAAGGGGTAGAAGAGATGATAACAATTAAGAGTTAGTGAGAAGGGTAACAAAGTGGTATTTGGTTAAACCATTATTCCTTACCCCACAAAAAACCTGCTCTTTTGTACTGTTGTTTTGCTGTTTCAGTATGCTGTAGTATGTTTTAAATTTGCCTAATGTCCATAACTCTCTGAGGTATGCAGTATTATTCCCATTTTGTAGCTGAGGACATAGGGGATTTTGTTCACATTGTTACATCTGGAGATTCTAGAACTCAATTCAGATCCTCTGATTCTTCTGTTTGCATATTTTTCTATTTCCATTTTAATGAGGAGGTCCACTTACCCTCTCCCCACTTAAAAATCACCACTTAGAGTAAGACAAGAAAAGCTTTTGAAAACTGGTCTTGAATCACTACATTATAAAGGCTTCCTCAAAGTTATATATTTATTTAAAAAGGAAAAGGGGAGAGTGACAGCGGTAGAAGTTACGGATCCGGATCCGTGCTAATCTTTTGAAATCTAACACAAACAGTGAGGCAGTTAGCAAGTACATTACAAGACAATGTAATGTACCTTGTTGCAGTATACCTTATTCAGAAGCAAAGTACCTAAAATAATCAGCAATTTGAGTTCTGAATTCCCACACCTGAGGAAGATATATGAATCACAGTTAGGGCAGCCCAAGGTATCAGGTGGTCTACGCCAGAAGCTCTGTTTTCTCATTCTTAGGTAAACTCCGTCTCTGACTTTGATTCCTTTTCCCTTGTTCACTCCCTGCTACAACATGAAGTTACTTAAACAGATAGAGATTAATGCATCCAGGCGGATGTTCTATTTGTGATACATCCTTTTCCCAGCTCCACTCCTGTTACATTAAGAACAGTTTGGCGGTTATCAGGGAGAGGCTCTGACAGCTACCTTGCTAGGCAGTTGTAGGAGGTACTTCACTTTGGGAACAAAATGGGGATATACTTGGCTATAATCTGAATCAGAGGGAAACTCTGCTCTGAAAACACAGATTTGGGTTGAAGCTCCTATTTATTTTTTGTGATGATTCTGGGGTTGTACACAGTTATAGGACCTGTATACAGTTTTGTGTACTTTTCTTTTAGGAGTTGACAAAAAGGGAGACAAAGTTTTTGAAAATGTCTTTCTGTGTCTTAATCCCAGATTTTTCCTTTCTCTTGTCCTTTAAAGTTTGCCAAAGAAATTAGAGTGCATAAAAACATCTATTTGCAACTGCCTTCTTCGTGGCTCAGGAATCAAAACTTCAAAGCGTCATGTGAGACGAAGAAGATCTCAGAATAGATTTTTATTGGAACAGAGAAAACTACAGAGAAAGTTGCAATTGACTCTTTCAAAGGAAATTCAGCCATCCCCTCAAGGGACTCAGAATGCTATAGATAGCAGTAAATGGAGACTCTTGCACTATACAGTTCAGAGAACTGATCTCTCCCCTAACAGTAAGCTTCTCCTGAGTAGCAGAATTTCAAATCCTGTCATACAAACTAAAGAGAAGCAAATTGAAAATTTGAAAAAAGCAAATGAAAACCTTACAGGAAGCAATGAAAATGAAACTGATTCATGGACAATACTGCAAATGAACAAACATAATACATCAGGAACCATTAAGGAGACAGATGACATTGATGATATTTTTGCTTTAATGGGAGTTTAGATGCTCATTTGTGAGATATTTAAGTGCTTAACTGATCTGGTATCCTGCTGTTTTATGTGGAACTGCTGAAAAAATATCTGGAAAGACTTGGAAGTACCACTTGGACTCAAAGAGGAGTTGCTTTAGTGTAACATTGTACAGCAGTTCATTTCAGTTCAATAAACATTTATAGTAGCTCTGTGTCATTTAACTGACAAGTATTTGAATATTAAATAGTCAAATTTTGAATTTGACTTTGTGCCAGGGGTTTAGATGAAAAAAGAAATCTACCATATCCTGTCCTTGAGAAGCAGATATAATTCCTTGATTAAACCTGGTGGGTCCCTGAAAAACAGAATAATTTTATGATTTACCAGGGAATTAAGAACTGAGTAATTAGGTTTATAGAACCCTACCCCTGTGCCTTAGGGTGTATATAGGGAGTCAGCTGGCCTAGGAAGTATCAAGGAGTGCTTAAAAAGTCACTTTGGTCTTAACTGGCTCCATTGTAGGTAAGTCCATCACGGAACACCCGTATTTGTAGCTTCTAATGATTGTGCTGTCTTGATTATAAATTAGATTTGATCATCACAAGGGTCTAAAAAATTTTGCCACTAACTGTATTCTCAGGGACTGGTCACTACCATTATTTTACTCCATTTGTTCACCTTATCTCATAGGAGGGCAAATTAAAATGCTTTTGGAGTTCTCTAAAAGTTTTTGGTTTTTTTTCTGGTTTACTTATTTGGGTGCTAGTGAGTGATTCTGAATAAACTTTTTTTTCCAAAAAGGATGTAAGGTGACATGTATAACCAACCATACATGAAATACAAAGAAGACAGCAAAGTAGAAGAAGGTAAGAAAGTTAAATGAAAAAATAAAGCTTAGTTACACAAAACCGAACCAGGAGTGAGGCCACACATATATCTATAATTTAATGTTGATGCTACCATCTGATATTTTTATATTGTTTTACCATTGCCAGAGATGGTAAATCTTACAAATTTTCAAATATTCTAGTTTACTAGAATTAGGTCAGTAAGCTTCTATTTGTTAAGAAGTTTGTGGCATTAAGTTTTCTGTTACATGTATTTTTATAGAAAAGTAAAACAGTTCTCCGGTATATATCACACCCACCCTTTTCCTTCACCATCCTCACTCTATTTCCATTCCATTCTTTATCTGGCCTTGTTCTTTCTGCACCTTTTCCACTTATCTATACTGGGGGTTCTCCTTTTGAGAATCACTTGGTGGGTTGTTTAAAATGCAGATTCCCTTCTGAAGAGACTGATAAACACAGCCAGGGGACGGGGACAGAAGCCTACATGACCTCATGAGCCTGAGATCAAAACCCAAGTTGAGATCAGGAGTCAAATGCCCAACTGACTGAGATTTCCAGGTGCCCAGAAGCCTGCATTTTTAACAAGGTGCTTAGGTGATCTGATGCAAGTAGCCTGCAAAGCAGAGTTAAGCAGCGCTTTATAGATTCCTTCTTTCCCGAAGCCTTGCAAACATCCTGATTTACTTCAAAGTTCTTAATACATTTCTAGTCCCTTTTCATTGTTTATATTTTTCCTGGCTTGCTACCAAGTGATAGTAGCTACTTAGTGCCTTAAAACACGGATAATACTAAGGAGATCTCATTTATAACAAGTCTAGCTATAGCCATTAGCTTCTGTGATTCTAAGATTTAAGGTCCAGTCTTGCTTCTGTTTTCATTTGCAGATGAATCCACACAGTTAGTTTCCCTGGACTTAGACTGCTTATATGAAGTGGCATCATTGTTCAAGAATCAGAAACTTGAAGTGTTCAAAGAGATTTTCCCTCAGTGGGAAAACCAGAGTGTTCAGTGATTTGTCTATGGAGGCTAGAGCCTGGATTGAACTACAGGCCTATCACTTTTTTGTACTTAATTAATGTTCCTTTGGAGTAAGTTTCCTCATCTCCTCTTCCCCTCTCTTGCTCCTTAGAATTCTGGGGGAAATAGTAAAAAAGCTTCACATGTGTTCACCAAACGACATTTTATATATATTTATAAGAAATGTAATATTCTAGATCAGTTAATCTTTCCAAACAACTTAAAATTCCAACGTCTTAAATTTTTAAAAGTAAAATCTAAAATATACAAACCATAACTTACTAGTAAATTAGATTAGAAACTACTGTTAGTGGGGGTGCCTGGGTGGCTCAGTTGGTTAAGTACCCAACTCTTAGATTTCAGCTCAGGCCATTATCTCAGGGTCATGAGACTGAGCCCCACGTTGGGCTCCGTGCTGAGTGTGGAACCCCCTTAAGGTTCTCTTTTTTCCCCTCCCTCTGGTCTCCATACCCCAACCAAAAAAGAAAAAAAAAATACTGTGTCATCATAGTGAATACCTATTTTACCCCTTTGGTAGCATTAAAACACTTAGATCATTCATAAGAGCACTGTGGTGAGACCTCCCATGCCCAAATCCTCTTGGCCTTACTTCAGCCACTCCTGTGGCCACCAGTCTCCAGTAGGAGTGGACAACTGCACTTTGCATCATGTTCCAGAGACCTCTCTCCTCATGCTCCTTCTGACAAGTTGCAGGAACTGCTTGGCACTTAGGCATGCACAAGTTGGAAGAAGTGTGCAGCCACCTTCTCCCCACTTCAAGGGCAACACAGAGGCACGTTTCCTAAGTCTCCCCAAAAGGTGCCTCAAGATCAAGACATGTACCTATGTGATGTCCAACTCTTGCATCATTGATTGACTTTCCTTCTGTTTCCTTTCTCCATCACTCCTATTCCCTGGGGTCACTTGCCAAATAAACGACTGCATGCAAACTTGTCTTGGGCTCTGGTTTTAGGAGAACCAAGGCTAAGATAAGGAGTAAAGTAATAGTGGCAGGCAAAATGATGACTTCTAAGATTGTTCTATTGTCACCATATATTTCACTTTGTGAATGCCTACATAAAGTTTTTTGTTTCTTTCAGCTTAAAACACTGGTGGTTAGAATAGACCAGGATTATCAACTATAAAACTGAAAATATATTCATAATTGAATTCCCTAAAAAAGCCACAAACTTGTTTTACAGACTTAGTTTTTAACCAGGGCTACTGCTATAATCTTAATATTCAGCCTCACATTGAAAAGCTATGCCACTTACACGAACAGGTCAGTAGCATCTTCATAAAAATTTTTTCTGTTAACTTTAGCTCAAAGTAAGGCTTTATCTTTCCATTCTGAATCTTACTGTACCAATTCTACACTGGCTCATCAACTTTTTTCTTTTCTCCCTTTTGCAAATATCAGTGTTCTCACTTAAAACTAGTTCTTGGTTTTTGTCTTTCAATAGAGAAAATGTTACCTCCTCTATGAAAAGAGGTTTTCTGTGATAAATCTGAATTTTGCTGTATTCTTTGTTGGTTTCACTTTACAAATATATAGAGTATATAGATACTTTTACACGTACAATACATTTTAATCTCTATAGCTTTGTGAGTTATAAATTAAGGGCAGAGAAATCAAGTAATTTGCCCAAGGCCCAAACTAATAAATACTAGAGCTGGAACTTAAATTCTGGTCTTCTGATTCTGAATCCTCTGTTCACTTGAAGGTGAATGATCCCAGTCTGAAAAGACTGATGTTTTCAGCATGGACTGACTGAAATTTTATCAAGAATATTTTATATTCAAATAAGGACTCGGAAAAAAGACTAATTATAGGCATAGAGAGAAGCATTTATCTTCCATCTACCTGTAAGTGCTCAACAGAAAAGTAGCCCCTTTTTACCTAGTCCATTTTAATACTTAAATATACATAATAGACATTTTCTTTAAAAGACAAAAGCCCAATAAAAACCATTCTCTACATAGTAGTAAATAGGTTTTCATATTATGGACTTCTATATGCTCTTGTTTGTCAGTTTGTTAAAACAGAAACGCTATTAAAATAAGAAGGGTATCTGTTCTAATGAACTGCATAATTTAATTATTTACAAGATCTTTTTCCCCAGCACAAATTCATTCGTGCTTTGGAAAGATGCAGGTTTTAAAGCTGAAATGTTCCTTCTGCAAATTACAGATATACAACATTTAAAACAATGTTGAAATTCTAGGTATTCAACTCCAGTTGGCCAAAGCCATCAGTCTTAAGATTTCCTGTTATATCTGCTATAAAGCATCTCAACAGATGGATTCCAGAATAGGTCACGGAACTGTGAAAAGAAAAGAAAAATTTTCTTCTTTACTTAAGATGTAGTAACATACCTGAATTCATCTAACTTAAAAACTGCTTAAAAACTTTTGAGTTCCATGTGTGAAACAGAATGTCTTGATTTGTTCTACCTTTCCTCTCTTCCACCAGCCTCTTGTATTCTAAATCTGATGATACACATTATTTGATCAGTTTCCTTCAGGATCCTAAAAATTTCACCATACCTACTACTTTGCCTTTTATTAAGCAGACTAAGTTTTTTTTTTTTAATTGAGGTTATAATTGACATGTAATATTAGCTTCAGTTGTACAACATAATGCCTAGGTACTTATATATATTGTGAAATGATCACAGTAAAATTTAGTTAACTTCTGTCACCAGGCATAATTACAATTCTTCCTTTTCTTGTGATGAGGACTTTTAAGATCTGCTCTCAGCAACTTTCAAATATGCAATACAGTATAAATACCACCATGCTGTACATTACATCTCAATGACTTGATTATTTTATAACTGGAAGTTTGTACCTTTTGATCCCCTTCACCCATATCTCCTATCCCCTAACCTCCACCTCTGACAACCACCAATCTCTGTATCTATGATTTTGCTTTTTTGTTGTTTCTCAAATTCTACATATAAGTGAGATCATGTGGTATTTTTCTCTGCCTGACTTATTTCACTTAACTTAATCCCCTCAAAATCCACCCATGTTGTCACAAATGGCAAGATTTCACTTTTTTAATGGTTGAATTGTATTCCATTGTATATCTATATACATTTGCTTTGTCCATTCATCTATTAATGGACAGGCTGTTTCCACATCTTGGCTACTTGTAAACAATGCTGCAGGAATTGCAGGGGTGCAGATATCTTTTCAAATTAGACTTTTTGTTTTCTTCAGAGAAATGCCTATAAGTGGTATTTTTGGATCATATGGTAATTTTATTTTTTGAGGAATCTCATACAGTTTTCCATAGTGTCTGTACTAATTTCATTTCCAACAGTGCACAAGGGTTCCCTTTTCTCCACATTCTCACCAATGCTTGTTATTTCTTGTATTTTTTTTTTCTTTTGCCTTTTTGATAATAGTTATTCCAGTAGGTATGAGGTGGTATCTCATTGTGGTAGTTTTGGTTGCATTTTCCTGATGGTTAGTGCTACTAAGCATCTTTGCTTTTCATTTTTTCCTGTTGGCCATGTGTGTGCATTCTTTGGAAAAACATCTATTCAGATCCTCTGCCCATTTTTTAATCATTTTTTTTTTTTTGCTATTGAGTTATAGGAGTTATGTATTTCAGTTATTAACTCCTTATCAGATACATGATTTGCAAACATTTTCTTTCATTCAGGAGGTTGCCTTTTCATTTTCTGGATGGTTTACTTTGCTGGCAGCTTTCTTACAGTTCAATATAGTCCCTCATGTTTATTTTTGCTATTGTTGCTTTTGCTTTTGGTGTCGAATCCAAAAAATCATTGCCATGTCTGATGTTAAGGGCCTATGTTTTCTTGTAGGAGTTTAATGGTTTCAGGCCTTAACATTCAAGTCTTTAATCCATTTTGAGTTAATTTTTATATACAGTATAAAACAGTAATCTAAGTCTCATTCTTTTGCATGTGGCTCTTCTGTTTTGCCAACACCATTTACTGAAGGTGCTGCCTTCTTCCCATTTTATATTCTTGGCTTCTTTGTCATAGTGACCATATATTTGTGGGATTATTTCTGGGCTCTCTATTCTGTTCCATTGATCTATGTGTCTTTTTTTAATGCCAGTACCATACCTTTTTGATTACTGTAACTTCATAATATAGTTTGAAATCAGGGAACATGATACCTTCAACTTTGTTCTTTCTCAAGAGTGCTTTGGCTATTTGTGGTCTTTTATGGTTCCATACAAATTTTAAGATTGTTCTATTTCTGTGAAAAATACCATTGTAATATCTTCTATTTTGCTTTTTATTTTACAGACTAAAAGTTTTTATTTCTTTAGTTTGTTCTTTTTGTGACAAAGATTCAACAACCTTGATAATTTAGACCTTTTTTTGGTCATTTTAAAAAATCATAATCACCACTATTGTGTCTATTATTGTCTACTCATCTTACTATATCCATCCATATGTCAGCTGGAAGTGACCACATGATTTCTCAGGATACATGGACTTTCATGAATACACTATGACTTTCGTGGATACAAGAATCATATATACCTGTACATAAAACAGGTAAAATATTTTCTGCTGTACTCTTAATTCCCTTCTTGATATATTATAGCATTTTAGACTTTTTGACCAAAGCTGCTTGCTTGAGAACAGCCTATAATGATTTCTGGGTTATAAGTGAAGTTATATAGCTTGAAGGAGAGATATAAGTTGGATTGTCCACACACTAATTATGGCATCTTGAACTCAATTGCAACATTTTTGTCAATTAATGTGATTTTCTTTGTCCTTAGAGTCCATTGTCTTTGCTTGGAATTCCACTATATAGAAAGCAATTATGCTCTACCTACTTACATATTTCTCCCATGAAGTTATAAGAACAGATTGATCCCAGCATCATTAGGGGCTTTACACCATTTACGAATCCCTACTCAGTAGGTGCAGAGTTCTGACATGAAGTTCAGCATTTAACTTTTGCCAAAGCCTTATAGGCCAAAGCTTGCTGGACTATAATTCCCCCTTTCTCCTACAAGGATCGTATAAGAAGGAAATAAAACCCGACTTATTTTATAATAATTATTTTGTGAACAGGCCAAACTTCTTTCTGGAGGGATGGACTAGGACTTGGTCATGCACATAAAACCAAGGAACGTATATAACTCTACTTTCTGAGTTGGATTTTGAGGGCTACATAGTATAGTATGCCAAATTCCTCTATATACAGTACGTGTTGAAGTTCTTGGAAGTCACCAGGTTCCTGCATCTCAAGTCTTAAACTTGTATGGCTTCTACTGTGCCTTGGTCACTTGTGGCAAGTATAGTGGCAGCAGTGATTCCAGGGTCATATAGGAGAGAATGCTGACGTATCTAAAGAAGGGAGTATCTTTAAAAAGTAGTGAGACTCTGATACTACGGGTTGTTGGCCTAACCTTGCTACTTACTGACTGACTTGACAAGAAAGGAAGCTAACATTTATTATGTGGCTGTGTGTGCATCAGTCACAATACATTTTATTTGATTCTTGTAACAATCATATTTTTACTAGTGAGAAAACAGACTCAGAAAATGAAATAAGTTGCTTTAAAATCTATGGCCAAGAAGTAGAGGAACCATGCAAAATCTAGGCTGTCTGACCCCAAAGCCCATGCTCCTTCTATTTAAACAATTACCTCTCTGCAGCCCACTTCATTTCCTTGACCTGTGACCATAACTGGAAATAGGGATGTTGGCTGTGAGGACCAGGTGAGTATTATGAATGATGTAACCTTCCCCAAGACCATCTGTTTTCAGATAACTCTAGTTCTTAATGTCTAGCCACAGTCTATCCTGATTGGTCTGATGTCCTGTAGCTCAAAGCAGTATGGAACTAGTGCTAGATCATTTCCTTGTTTGGAACACTATAATTCTATTAATGTAGGTCAAGAAAACATTGTCAGTTTCTCCCCAACTCCATTAAACTGTTAATTAAAATTCAGCTTACAGTCAACTAAAACTTAATTTTTTCCCCAATAAATGCTGCTGTTAAGCCATAATCTGTCCATCTTATGTTTGTGCTGCATTTTTAGTGAAGGTCTCACTTCCTTCTTATTAAACAGTTAAAAGAATAGCTATTCTTCTAAGCCAATGCTCAGGGCTCTAAGAAATAGGATTTCATTCCTGCCCTTAGGAGTCTCCATTATACAGATGGGACACAGACAAGTGAACAAGATAAATACTTGAAAGAAAGTCAAGGGAGAAGAGCACTTTGTAGGAATGACTGAATGAAGGATTCTGATAGGCATGTTCATAATTACAAACAATTTGAATGTGATCTGGATTGGTAGGACCTTGAATGACTGATTAGAGGACCGTTTCATATACAACAGTTACTTGGTTTTAATTATTTCTCATTGCAAATACCCTATTACTTTCCACAAAGAAGTGAGAGTAAGAAACTCAAATGGAAGTGGCACTGTATCTCTGCTCTAGTACAGGGTACACTATATCCAAGGTATACGCTAAAAGTATAGATACACGTTTCATCACTAAACTCTATCAAATATCTCAAAATTGTCAGCTCTAGAAGTAACCATTCTATCTGCTACCAATGCTTAATTCTAACTTAAAGGAAGTATTTCTTTACATATGGTCCTTTTAAAGAAAAATTTTTATTCCTCACAGCCTGAATGAGCTTTCTACCATAAAGATAATTTTTCTTTGAAATTGAGAAAAGCATGGGAGTATCTTTATTGTGGCTGTTATTTAGCTGATTTTATAAAGTAAGAAGTTTTTATTTCTGCTGTGATCTAGGATTGAGCTAGGATGAGGCAGAAAGAGAATGAAGATACCTACAGGGAAGATACCTACCATGTAGAAGGAAGACAAAATAGAAGGAAGAAAAAATAAAAGCGCTGATGGATTGTACCAATAAATCATGGTTAAGTGCATAGTCTTCCAAACTCCTCTTATTTTAAGTGATACCTCAATTTAAGAAATACTATGTAATACAAAAGGATGTTAGTACATAAAGTTACAAAATAATTCAGCTCTTACCTTACAGGAAACAACTGAGGAAAACATCCTTGTGTTTCACTGTCAACAAATTTCTGGATCTGAAGCACTTGTTTTAAAAGATGTCCCTTGGAAGATTTGTCAATTTTTGTTAATACCATCTGTAAGAAAACAAATAATTAAGCATTAGAAATAAAGTCTTTTTTTAATACAAAATTTTGGGCACCTGGGTGGCTCAGTGGGTTAAAGCTTCTGCCTTCGGCTCAGGTCATGATCCCAGGGTCCTGGGATTGAGCCCTACATTGGGCTCTCTGCTGAGCAGGGAGCCTGTTTCTCCCTCTCTTTCTGCCTGCCTCTCTGCCTACTTGTGATCTGTCTGTCAAATAAATAAATAAATAATCTTTAATACAAAATTTTATGTTTCAGCTACAATTTTTTTTTTAAAGACTTATTTATTCTACACAGAGAATGAGTGCACAGTGGTGGGGGAGGGAGAGGGAAACAAAAAACTTAGCAGACTCTGGCTGAGCGCAGAGCCCCACTGCAGGGCTCAATTCCACCATACCAAGATCATGACCTGACCTGAAACCAAAAGTCAGACGCTTAACTAACTACACCACCCAGGCGCCCCTAACTACACATGGTTAATAACAACTAGATGACCCTGGTAAGTTTCTTATTCTTTCTATACTTATTTTTTCATCTATAAAATAAAAGCAACACCCCCAAAAGGAGTCACCATGAAGATTAAATGAGTTAATGTATGCAATGGATAAAGCATATACTATGTGTTTGCTGTTTAATGGTGCTTTAACTACAAAGGGCCAAAATATCTTGGATTCAAGACCAGTGAAAAGGACCTTGGGCCATATTTGTAATTGACATAAGACAAATTTCATATGATCACTATATATCTTATGTTAACTAAGACGAATAGTATTAGGTTGATCCAAATAAAATTGCCAACTTAAAATCATTTTTGACCTACAAAATGGTTCTGCCTTATATGCAATAATACAAAGGAAAAACTAGAAATCAGGCTATTTGTATCTTATATCCACTACACTTATAGGAATGACTACAAAATCAATTAAAAAGTAAAACTCTGATCCATCAATTTCCTGGGGAATTTCTACAAAATTAAAATTTCCTGACTAATCATTTATGCTTTCCAGTTATTAAAAAATGTTAATGGTAAAAGAAGTGAGTAGCAGAAAGCATGTAGTTTCTAATGACTTGTGAGTCCCTCCAATTGGGAGTCTTTTCTCATAAAAGCAAATATGCTAGTATTTAAAAGGAGGCATAATTCCTCTATCACAACCTCTTTCCAAAAAAGAAAGTAAAATTTCTTTTAAATTTTGAAGCTGAGAAAAATATACAATTTTATAAACTGGTACCTATGATACCAAATCAGGAATACTGTATCACTTAAAACCAGTTTGGCACTATTGGGTATTTTCTACTATGTGGACTATAATCAAACCTTCGACTCCTCATACTAACTATAGTTATAGCTTATGTTTCATAGGGCTTTTGCAAAATCCCAAAATTTCATAACCCCAAGAATACAAAAACATCACTGACTAGTAACATGGTTTTATTTGCATTAAACTTCACTGTTACATTTTAGTGGTTTCTTTTTTTGAAACCAAATTATAGTCAATGGATTCTTTTTCTTAGAAAGGAACTTCAGAGGTCTATGTTATCTGGAAAACTCATGAAACAAAGTAAATGTGGATACCAACCTACTAATCTGTATTCTATTCTAGGGCAAACAACAGAAAAAAAAATACAAGTAAGATATTCCCAGAAGAAATATTGTTTTCTTAAGGAACATAAAAATCCTACCTGTATGTGCTGGAGCCCGTTATTTTCTTGCAATGGTTCTTAAACTACAAATTGCTTTAGCAAATTTTTCGGTTGCAACTTCGTTTACACTTTGATATGTACTATATGCCAAACTGCTGTTAAAGAGCCACTAATATGTTTTAGACAAATATTTATATTGCCATTAAAAAAATGAAAGGAAAAAGCACTTAGGAACACTAAATGAACAGCTTAAAAATACTTTACTTTGACTATAATTTTGAAAACTTAAAGCTGAGAGAAAGAAAAGAGAAAGTACCACAGAACTTACCTAATAATGGTTGATAATCAAAAAGATTATTCAAAAACTATTCTTGCAGAGATAAGAACTGCTCTCTCACTGAAAAGACACACACACACACACACAAGCATTTGCACATGTATACACACAAACTGGTATTTCCAATAGCAACTATGATTCAAAGGAAATACTTACCACATAAGGTAATGAAAATTCTTCACACATTCCTATGGCAATACTGTCGGTTTTTTGAATTCCGACAACACTATCCACTAACAGAAATGTTCTTATCAAACTATAAGAATACAGAAATAAAAATCAATGACAATATCAAATATACTCATTCATTTCTTCCCCGACCCTCACTATGCTGAGAAATTTTCTTTTGAATAATTTTCACTCCAAAATTTAAAAATTTTTTAGGCAAAAGGAATTTTCAGTTCATTAGAAGTTCATCCTATAATCCAATAAATCTCAATTACTTTCAATAACTAAATTTACTAAATATTAATTTATTTCAATAGCAGGTATTAGACCTAAGATCCTCTGCTTAGGGCTGAACACAAAGATGAGTAAGTACCTTCCTTTAAAAGCCTGAATTCTAGGGATGCCTGGTGACTCAGTTGGATAAATGTCTGCCTTTGACTCAGGTCATGATCCCAGGGTCCTGGGATCAAGTTCTGCATTGGGCTCCTTGCTTGGCGGGGAGCCTGCTTTCCCACTGCCTGCTCTGCCTGCAGCTCCCCATGCTTGTGCTCTCTCTCCAACAAATAAATAAATACAATCTTAAAAAAAAAAAAAAAAAAAAGCTCGAACTCTAGTGGGAGAAAGAGACATGAATCCAATTAACCATAACATGCTTTTGGATTAGATTTATAAGAAAATATTTTCCTTACTTCCTTCGTTCTTTTAGATAGGTCTCTACCATGTCAACAAAATCTTCGGGAGCTCTATAGCCATAACCTGGCATGTCCACCAATGTAAAATATTTTCCAGCTTTGAAAAAATTCATTTTCTTTGTATGCCCCTGATAAAATAAATGGAAAATAAAAGCTTCCTTAGAATACATCCTGTATATATTTAATGACTCAACATTTTCTATTCAATCAGCAAATATTTATTAAAAGACTAAGTGTTCTGAATATAATCCTAGCTATGCTGATGATGATACATGAAAAGAATACAGAAGAGAAGTGGCTGGAGATAAGCTTAGATGATGCTACTTCTTCCCTCCAATTCCTTTTTAAGAGCATCTATATGACTTAAGAAGAACTTCTGATTAGGAATATGTACCCAAAATATGTCGGAGTCTTTTCATTAGCTCTTTCTCAGTGAAAAGTTATTCTATAATGGTGTCACTGCATTAGTCAATATTCTCTGATGAATAATTTATCCCCATTTTAAAGAGAAATAAATTATGGCACAGATTGGTTAAACTAAAAATACTTACTGTCAGTCATACAGGTTTTCATAAAACCTAGATGCAAAACTTGATAGTTTATAACATCTAGACTACTGCTTCCCTAGAATCAAGATGTTTTGCATGTTTCATTAGATGGTTTTAGTGCTTTCAGTAAACCATTTTTTAAAAGCATGTACAACACTATAAAATATGTGTTAAACTAAAATGATGTAAAGATGGTAAAAAGTCATGGTTTTGTGTCTAATGACACTATTAATCAGAAAACAAAAGATTAAGATAAGCAACTTAAAAAGTCAATTGTTGAACTTAGAACAAATATCTTCAGAGGCAAGATTCTGTAAAACAGTGCTTAGGTTCCCAGTCAGTTGATGTGTCTATCCATAGAAAAATGACAGATTAGGAATGTCAAGAATACACTTCTTCCATTGTCCTCTCACACAGGAAGGGAACCCACCCTACCTAGAAATCAGAGTTTAGCTTTGTTATTTGAGGAGACAGAGTAGGCCTAAGGATAGGAGATTTAATGAACTACAATCATCAGCATTAGTGATGAAGCCAGATTAACTACATGAAGAAATGGGGAGCAAGACTAGGAAGTTTCATGTAAGGGTTCCAATGCAAAGAAAGGGGGGCAGTGAGCCGCAGGTTGGTGGGAACATTTTGCCATGGATAGATAATAAGGTGAGAGGAACTAGGGGTGAATTTTAATGACACTGTATCTTAGATATTGGTAGTCTGCATCATTGAGAAAGAGTAGAGGAAATTTTAAAAATGCCAGAAAGCTACTACAGCAGACTGGCTGGTGTAATCACATCATTTGGCCTTGGGTAAACTGGGGTGTGCCTAATATATATACGTATATGTATGTATACATATATATATCTGTATCTATTATCTATATATAAAGAGAGAAGGGGTAGTAGGAGAAGGGAGGGAGAAAGGACTTAGCAAGTTATACAAGATTATAGGAGGGAAAAACCACTTCAAAGCAGTTTCCTCTAAAATCAGGGCAGGAGTAGATGATCAATCTTAAAGAAGCAAATACAGAACGGCAACAATACTTTATGCGGCAACTCTTTGGAAAAGATTTGAACAAAAGATTTCCTCAAGAAACTGGCAAGACAACCAAAATAAAACCAGACATACTTCCTTCTTCTTCAGGGATATGTACAGGTGTCAATAAAATGTCTTAATTTACTACTTGTTTGAAAGAAATCACTGTTCTAGAAACTTAGCAAGTATGATTTCTTCTACCTCTCAACATTAATTTGTCACTTTAGTCAATTCAGAGATGGTTCAGACATGTTTTACATTTCAATATACTGTTCTTTTATAACCCATGGGCCTCCCCAACCCTTTCCTTCAACATACCGGTTTCTTGGAGACTCTGACTTCAACCTCTGGGGCGAGGGAAAATAAGGCTTTTATTAGAGAGGATTTTCCAACATTGCTTCTGCCTATAAAACACACCTAATACAAGGAAAAAGAAGATAATTGAGTACAAGGTTTCTATATACATTTTTATTATATATTGTATTAGCTGCAAAAATCTGTTAAACGACTGTCTTTCCTAGCCATGTAAAAAGGTGGCTTGTGTTTAGTTGAACCTCAAATTCTAACATATAACTACTATCTACTGAATGATTCCCAGGGTCAGGTACTGTTCAAAGCACTTAGCATAAATCTTCTTATCTACTTTTTACAACATCCCTATCAGGTAGGTAATATTATTATCCCCATTTTACAAATGATAAAACTAGAGGCAGGGAGAGGCTAAACAATTGGCCCAAAATTATATAGCTAGAAAGGGAAGAAGTTGGAATTTAAAAACTCAGGACATTTATAACCAGAACCCATGCCTTTAATGACATTATGCTACTCAAGAACATCTGGGACATTTAATAAGCATTCCATATTTACAAAGCTTTTTGAAGTTAAAAATTATATGCATGTCAACAAAACTTATTCTAAAGTACAACTACATATCTCAAACTGCATTGCCCCACAAACTCCCAGAGTTGACTGTAACACCATTGCATTTATGAGGTTATTCTTTTCGCTTGACGTCTCTTGTTGCAATTAAACTTTTCTCCTTTAGACCTCTATAGTGTAGAAAGGAACATAATGTTCCTGATACTAACCATTAATATACATGACTGCTTTTTAACATGGTATTGAAGGGGGTACAATACCAATCAATGGTTCTAGGTGAGGGTGGTTATCACCCTCTGGGGGGTGTTTCAGAAATTTGTAAGGGCATTTCTACTTATGAATAGGACTGGGTGGCACTTAGTGGGTGGGGCCAGGGATGCTACATATTTTGCAAGACTGGGGTAAGTCCTTCAGTATGAATTGATCTGAGTCCTGCATAAGTTTCAAATGCTCTGCCAGATTAAATCCAATGATAATATATAAATAAAACTAAATTTCAAGAAACAAAAAGTTACTGGACAAAAAGCCCAGCAATTCAGAAGCTTCAGTCAAAACACGATGTCATGTCAAAATTATTAAACTACTTATGTTCCCCTTAGTTCTATTTAAACTATCATTGCAGTTCTAATTCGAAGGAAAGTTTCCACAGCAGTGGTGCAGTTGCAAATAATGAGATTTTAAGACATGCATAAAATGCCTACTCGTGGAATTTCACTAAAGTTGTTTAATAAAAACCACACTGTTGCCATGTATATATAATTATTATTTCTGCACGACAGGAAATTCAGATTGGGTGAAAATCACGTACTGATAAGGACCATCACATTTGTGTAACTATTGCACTTTTCCTATTCACTTTGTCTCATTTGTCTCGGCATGTTTTTCCCTACGTCAATGAAGAAGGAGAAAGAATAAAAAGCCATTTAATTTTTGAACTGGTTTGGTTTTTACAATCATTTAATCTTGTACATTCATTACCAAAGTAACTAAAACTATATATGCTTATTTAGTTAAAATAATTTTATGCGTCCCCGCAAAGCTAGAAAATCTCTCTCGTTCGGTGACAAGAATAGGTGAGGGCAAAATGCCTGCCCCAGTCTTCACCACCTGAGTGAGGAGTGAGCGCAGCGGCGGCTCTCACCTCAGGTTGGGCGAGGTCCGGGGCGTGGTCGAGACGCACGGCGGAGCTGAGGTACTCGATGCGGTTGCGGCCGGTGGCCGTGAAGACGCTCTCCGCCTTGGAGATGTCCTCCAAGCTCGGGTCGAAGATCTTCACGTGAAGGTCCAACCTCGCGTCTGGAGTGAGCTGCCGCTGGAGTTCCTGTAGTGGAAACGCGAGCTTCGTCATTTGTCTCTTGGGCAGCCTGAGAACTTCCGCGAAGGTTTGGAACGTGCTGCAAGCTCGGTTCACGCGCCGCAACGCCCGGGTAAGCTCCAGTAGCTTGCGGGTGATCGGCCGCAAGCCTGGGGCTGTCATTTTCCTCTCCCAGAAGTCCCGCGCAGGGCTTCGCGCCAAAGTCTGGCCTGCGCCCGGCGACACCGCTTCCGCTATGCCTGCTGGGAATTGTAGTCTCATGTGGCCTCACACGTTTCCGCCGCAACGCTTCCAATCCAGAGAGCCCGAGGCCGCGGTTTCCTCGAGACGAGGAGGTGGGGGTGGGGACTCGGGGCCTGAGGGTTGACTCACGCTCAGTGGCAGACTGACAACTGAGCCTTTGACTTGTATATCACTGTAGGGAGGTCGTTTGACAGTTTGCAGAGGTGAAAAGACACACCTGGGCCCTGTGGCCTTTGAGTGACACACGAAGGAGCAAACGTGTGAAGCTCTGGTGGATTCCAGGCCTGTTTACTCCTCACAGAATACAGTTATCTCACGATCGTTGATGTTTGTTGACGTATACATCACTCGGCAAAGCTGATTCCGGTGGAGAGCGGCGATGGATATAGAGTCCGAGAGGGAACTGTCAAAGTCTAGGAAGATCAGACCAAATCAGTATTAAAGGGGATTCGGTCTGGTGGATGGGATGTTGCAACACCATTCTCCATGTTCTTGTGATATTCTCACTGATGGTTAACAGCATGTTGGTTCCAGGTGGTCCGTCTGGGTGAAGTAGCACCCTCTTCAAAGGATCTAGCCTCCTGGCTAGGTAGGGTGTCAGGGTTTAGATTCAGAATAGGATTTAAATCTTACTGGGGGGGAAAGGAATGTGGATTAGGAAAGCAAGCAGCTACTTAGTCATGTGGATTGTGGAAACGTAACAAGGACGTGAGATAAAGCTTGAATTGATCTAAGGTGATCGCTCCTCCCAGAGAACTGTGGAAATCCCACCCTGGGTCTAGTTCTACATAGCTGAGGTCGGGTGTATTTTGCTAAACTGTAGAAGCCTAGGGAGGCCAATAAATGAAGACTGTATTCATGTACTGTACTATGATGTACTTCCCTGTTTAATACTATAATCTACCTTATCTAACAGAGTCATGAGGCATCCCTGCTAGATTCCATCATTTGTTAATTCATCAAATATGTAATGAACACCGATTATATGCCAGGCATTACACTAGGTGCTGGAGATATATCAGTGAGTAAATGGAACAGATAAGAGTTTCTGTCCTCATGCTGTTGCCTTGAGACAATAGTTAAGTAAAACACAGAATATATTAGATAATAAATGCTTAGGAAAAAGCCAAAGCTGAGTCACTAGGTTCTGTGTGTGTGTGTGTGTGTGTGTGTGTGTAGAGCTGTAGGGGTATTGCATTGTAGTATGATCCTCACTGAACAGATGGCATTTGAATGCAAACTTGAAGGAGGTGAGAGAAGCATTCCAGATATATGTGCAAAGGCTCAGAGGCAGGAGTGTGTATGGCTTTTTGAAGAACAGCAAGGAGGCCAATGTGGCCAGAGTGGAGTAAACAAGGATAGATGCTTACAGTGACTCTAACTATTCCTATCAAATTAGCGTTTGGATAAAGACATTTGAACTGAATGTGTATTGTCTTTTGCTGTTCAGCATCCCTTGCATAGAGAGGAAGCATCTGCTCCTGTGGTTCTGTTGGGGCTATTGATAATAGAACTCCACCGATCACAGGAGGTAGGGTTTGGTCATACATTGTATGTATTATGAGAATAATGACTACGTGGGTAATGTGCAGGTGACCCCAACCGGGACAGTCATTGTGTTGAAGTTGGTTGGGCAGCTGGCTCTGCCATTAAGTCAAAATGCTAGAATGTGAGTCTAGCACTCATGATGGCCATTCTTTCCGGCTACATGGGGGACACCTACAGTGCTTTAAGAGACAATGATGCTAACACACAAAAACAATACAGAGAGATAGGGGTCCAGGCAGTGTGACTCCTGATGAACTATGTTGAATATCATGTTCTCTGTCCCTCAGCTCCTCAATCACACAAGTCAATTAGTTCCTCATCTTGCATTTACTGGATCTGATTTGACATAGATTTGACTGCAATCATGCATCTTGATTAATACAGCATTGTAAGATCTTTTGTTGTTCTCTTGTAAATCCGGAGCCATCAGACTAGTGGGATAGTTGGAGTGGCCTATGTAAATGTCAAACCTATTACAGAGGACACATAGTAAAGCTTTAGGGCTTAAAGCACCTGTGGCTGCAGGTTAGGCAGGCCAAAATGTTATCCTCCCTGGACTTCAGGGAGTTCAATTTTCCCTTCCATTCAGGATATTTCCTCATCCAGTGGGTATTTATGATGTTTGGTAAAGGTCACTAATCTAGTTACATTGTGAAAATTAGCAGAGTTCAGGATGTGTTTATGGTTCATCCTCCTGAGAAAAAGTACCTTCTGTTTGACAGCTTGGGAGGTTGTTCACCACAAAGTTAACAAGATTTTCCTATTTAGTAACTTGGGGAGGTATTACCTACTTTGCATACATTGCTTAGCACCAGCTTTTATTGCTACACTCTATCTGGCCTAAATCTGGTCATGTTCACCTAATGAGAATGGGGGGAACACAGGTAGAACAGTGGCAGGATCTTACCATGAGGACAGGGCTATCTCAATTGTTCCATCAGTGATGTCTGTCTCTATAATGATTGGCCATTAGTTCCAGAGCGATCTCAATTTATGTTTAAATTCTGTAGACGTCACGTTTAGGGAATCCATCTAAGATCCTGAGAAGGCTAACACTGTAGGCCAACACAGGTAGAATCAATAACATCAGAGAGTCAGCAAGCATAGCATACACATAGATCAACTCTCATCTTAGGCCAAAAATGGTTTGCCTGCTCTGACAGAAGCAAAGGCAGAGATTCTAGGAAAACTCACTTTTAAATGAGGAGAAAAGTAATGGACTAGGTCTCAGTGTCCAGTCTACACGCAACATTGTCCCTACCATACTCTCCCCTTGTTTTAGCAATAGTAATTAACATGTAATAAGTGCCTGCTGTTCCTGGGATTGATATGGGTGCCAGGAATAAAAATATAAGAAAAACATGGTCGCAACCTAATTGGGACCTCCAACCCTTGTTTTAGGAAGAAAATAATGGGGGGAAGGAAGAAAGAAGAGGCACTATATGAATGAGAGCAATGTGTGAGAACCTGCCACATGTGACTTAAATTGCTTAAGTTGTCATAACTACTATCTGAATGGATGCTGTAAATTTAAAATGCACTTAATTATGTTTTTCTCAAGTTTTCTGCACAACAGCTCATTTCATTTAAAAAATGTACATTAGCAGTGCCTGGGTGGCTCAGGTTAAGCATCCAACTCTTGGTTTCCGTTCGGGTGGTGATCTCAGGATTGCGAGTGGGAGCCCTGCATTGGGCTTCGTGCTCACTGTAGAGTCTGCTAAAGTTTCTCTCTCTCTCTCTATCTCTCAAATAAATTTAATTTAAAAATATACATTAGGTATCTCCTAACATGTTGACAAAACTTTATGGCCCACACATACAACATGATGTATGACTTGTTTCTCTAATTTTCTAACTGGATTATAAATTATTTTTGAGATATATTATTTTGCCATCATTCAAGAAACAGCAGAGATGTATTTCCTACGATCCTCTTTGGGAGCTCATCAAATAATTTAGTTTCACTTTATATTTCATTAATGTACCTTTAGAGAATATCTCTGACTTCAGAGAGGGTTTTTCCTTTACAGAAGTCTTTTGAGCTTTCTTTTAAGGTTGTGCCTGCTGTACTAACAGATTTCTTTAAAGAGATCTGGAGATTAAATAGCAGACAGTGCTCATGTGTAGGAGGTGAGTTCTTAGAATGATTTGGGTTTGGAGGAAGGGTAGTGTAGAGCTTCACTTCCTTCAAGGTTGTTTTTCTCAATAGAAAAAGTTGTTTTATGTAGTCAGTTTTTCTCATTTGTAGTTGTGTGTTTGATTTCTCTGCCATATTAGTGCTATTAAAATATTTTAGAACACTCTTCAACCGGTGTTTTTATATATAGGTTTGTTTGTTTGCCAGAAAAAAATGTGGATTTTGCTGTTCTCACTCATAACTTCAGTAACTTTTAATTCTTCTTGCCTAGTAGACAAGGTTATTTTAATGCATACATTTACCTTGTTGTATATCTCCAGTCTGTATCTTCATTGCTTTATTGTAAGTGAATGCTGTGTTCTCTTGCACCCTGAGTAGATGAGATGGCGTTCTAGAGGCAGAGAGGTTGAGATATGTTCAGATTGTTTAATTCACTTACAGATAGATTTTTTCAGCAGTCCCCAAGATCACTCTCCAGATTTGGTGGATCCTTAGGAAGACTCACAGGACTCAGCATATGATTGTACTTTTGGCTATGATTTATCACCATGAAAGTATACAAAGCAGAACTGGTTAAGGGAAAGGCACTCAAGGTAAAGTCTGGAGGTAAATCAGTCTTAAGCTTCTATGTGTCCTTTCCCAGTGGAGTTGCTCAGGATGCACCTGACTGTGCCAGTAATGTGTGAAACGTCTCCCAGGAACACCTGCTTGAGCCTAGACTCCAGAATTTGTATCACAGGCTGGCCTTGTAAGCCCATAGTGGCTGTGTAACTGACTATATATAGTCACTGAAATTCCAGACTCTAGGAAGGAAAGCAGGTGCCTAGCATAAACCTCATTGTATTGTTCGTACAAATAGTAGAGGTACACTGAGCCACTGTTATCATTTAGGGAACGTTTTCTAATCAAGTTCCCAGACAACAGCCAAGGGCCAATCTGTAAACAAGCCTTTCTGAGACTGCCGTCACAAGCCTGCTATGTTAACTCTTTTTTGTACGTAGATTAAAAGGTACCAAATTTAAAGATTTTATTTATTTAAGAAAGTGAGAGAGCAGGTGTAAATAGGGAGAGGAGCAGAGCAGGAGGGAGTGGGTAGAGGAATGAATTCCGAGCAGACTCCATGCTGAACACACAGCTCAACCCGGGGCTGGATCCCACAACCGTGAGATTACCACCGGAGCTGAAACCCAGAGTTAGAAGCCCAACAGAGTGAGCTACCTAGGTGCCCCATAAGGTAAAAAATTTAAAAATAAGAAGTCTCTCATCTGCACTTATTATGAGATTAATTGTAGG